ATAAATTAGAGAAAACAGGAAGACCTTGTGAATTTTTAAGCAACTGAACAACATGTAAAAATCAATAGTTTAAAAGATTAACTACATTCATTGGAGAGAAATGAATTTTATCTTTGGCCAAGAAAAGAGGCAAACGACACTTAAAAACAACAATAAAATATGTAAGCAGGTTTGCCTGGGTGGCTCAGTCGGTTAAGCGTCTGACTTCAGCTCATGTCATGATCTCATGATTTGTAAGTTTGATCTCCATGTCGTGCTCCATGCTGACAGCTAGGAGCCTGGAGCCTGCTTCGGAATCTGTGTCTCTCTGCCCTCCCCTGCTTGTACTCTGTTTCTCTCTCTCTCTCTCAAAAATAAACAAACATACAAAAAAAGGTAAACAGATAATGACCTCTAGTTAAGATATATATGCCAAAGTGCTGGAGGAAAATATCTGTGCTTTATTTTGAGATGCATCAAAAATAAAACAAAATGTTTGCAGTATGTCAAAAAAATAACATGGATTGATAAATGGATAAAGAGATGTGTGATAAAATAACTGCAGTAAGATGTGAACAGTAGAATCTAGGTAGTGGGCGTAAAACTTTTTTAAGTTCACTGTGTAAAAATTTTTATAATAAAATGTTGGAGAACCAAAGAGAGGAAATTGGAAGTTTAGAAGATTTTGAGGGAAGAACCAGGGAGATTTCAGAGATGTGATACCTACAGTAAAAAGAACATGGGCACTGGAATCAAACAGACCTGAATTCTGGGTCTGGCTTAGCTTTTTATTTGCTAGAGATATAGCAAATATATATATATATTATATAATATACGTAAATATATCTAATATAGATATATTAGATATATTTTAATATATATATTAGATACACATTAGATGTATGGCCCAGTGGTGGCACTGGGATTTGAACCTGGACACCCTGGCTCTGAAGCCTTGCTGTCTACCTTGCAATGCAGCAATGATTCAAGCTTCCAGTTCGGTGTCTGGCACATGGTAGATTATCATCCAGTAGCTGTTGCTATTAGTGTACCATCAACTGTAGAGGATGAAGTCCTTCTAGTATTCGATCTAGAAGATTTATATGACACTATTATAGGAGCTGGAAGGCCAAACTGTTTGTGGAAAGAGATGGTTAATTTAGTTTTCGATAAGTGGAAATTGAGATTTTGATACGAATAGTTTTGTGTATTTTCTAAAATCATTTGCTTGTTAAAAATTTGAAAGTGTGTTACGTGCTGCGCACTGCTCTAGACAAGTGAGCAAAACAGACAAAAATCTCTACCCTCTTAGGGTTTTGTGTTCTAAAAGAGTTTGAAGAATTAAGGACCTTTATATCTCAAATGCAGACTGACTCTCTGCCAGCGAGAGGAAATGCCAGCGAGAGAAGAAGGTGGTGTTTTCATAGCAGACTTTCCTGATGTCCCTGACATCCTGCCGTATGGGCAGTTCTTTCCTCTGCTTTCTCTCAAGCCCAGCTGTGTTCTGATTTCCTCTGAAGTTCTTTTTACTTCCATCTGGAGTTGGTGGAACAGCTTATATAAGCTATTTATGATTAAGTTTCAAAATATCTGTCCAGGACTCTAAAACGGCCCAGACAGGAACAATAGTAGTTGCTTTTCATGGGGTTTACAGAGCAGAGAAGACGGAGATGAAATTCATGATATTCCATGTAACCCAGAGGGCACCAAGATCTCCTTTGCGGTCTCACACATGAATCCTGTACTTTAGCTAGGCTCTGGCTCCAGCACCCTTCCAGGGTGTGTATTCCTCAGCGATTACGCACTCATTCCAACAGGGCAGGAGGTCAGTCAGTAACAGTATTCGTTGAGCCAGACCCTCCTCTGCTTCTGAGTCATTTTCTGGTACAGCAAAAAGGTTGTCAGGGAGAAGCTTTAACTCTTTCAGATCACGAAGTTTACTCCTCAGCGTAACAGGGTCTGTCTCTTACATCCTACAGAGTGTATGCTGATTCTCTCTTTGACGTTTCAGATAAGGAGGTATATATTTAGTCTGAGAGTGAGATGGAATTTGAGAAAACAAAGTAGAAGGAGAAAAATAATACCACCGTGGCCCAACCTTGGGGAGGTGTGTTGATAACGGATAGATGGCTAAGAGGTTTGCAAAATATTATGCTTGTTTAAAAAAAATATTTATGACACCACGCTTAATGCGGAAATCTGACATCTGGCAACTTCAGCCATTTGGAAGACAGCCAGAAAATAAGAAAGGGGCATCAGAGCACATAAAAAGTAACTGTTGAAAAACTCTAGCTAACTAATACATGTAGTTTACCACCACGGAAGAGTTCGTTAGGTTTTCCTTTAGAGCTTGTTTACATTTTATTTATCTAGGGACTTCTAATAATTTTGGCGGTGTCTGTATGATCTTCCCTCCCCAGCAGACTATGAACAGCAATCTAGAAAGAGGATAGAAAAACTGATAGAGGACGTAACTGATAGCAGAGGGGCAGCTGACAGCAAAAGAGAAAGACCCAAAAGTTATACGGTACTGGTAGTATGCATCACAACACAGTATACTAATGTATGGTCTTAATGAACTTGTGTCCATCAGGCAAAGAGTAAATTATGTTCAGTGTCTTTCCTACTAGCGAAGGCAAGAGAGGTATATAATTTTTTTTAATGTTTATTTATTTTTGAGAGAGAAAGAGAGAGAGAGAGAGGGAGACACAGAACCTGAAGCAGGCTCCAGGCTCTGAGCAGTCAGCACAGAGCCGGACACGGGGCTTGAACTCACTATCCATGATTTCATGACCTGAGCCGAAGTTGGACACTCAACCAACTGAGACACTCAGGTGCCCCTATAATGTGTCTATTTTTAAACATGGTCAAAGCTAAACCAAGTTTTGACGTGTTGAAATGGTAGATTCCGTGGTGTTTTTGTACTTGTACAGTGTGCTATACATTGTCTGGTGATATATCAGTGAGACAGATTTGAGCTTGTAGCTGATTATGGAAATAATGTTTAGTAACAACTGCTCACAGTTATCGAGCACCTCCTATACCAACCCTGTCCTAGGTGCTTTTACACTATCAGCATATGGTTAAAGCTTTAGGCAGATCTGGATTTCTGTTCCATCTCTGACTTACTGTATGACCTCGGACAGATTGCATCACCTCTCTGAGCCTGTGCCCTCATCTGCAAAATGGAAACTAATAATATGGGATAGGATTGTTGTGGGGACCCAATGAGGGACATAGCACAGTGCATGGCATATAGTAAGTGCTCAATAAATATTAGGCATTATTATCATTATTTTTATCATCATCATCTTTCTGATGATTATTATCAAAGTATGATTATCCCCATTTTTCTGAACAGGAAACTCTAGCCCAGAGAGTTTAAGTAGTTTATCCAAGGTGAAATAACTAATAAAAGTTGGAGCTGGCATTTTGAACCTTGATCTCTGACTCCAGATGCCTGGTTACTTTGCATTCACATTATACTGCCTCTTCAGCATGGGATTGTAATTCAGTTTTTTTCTATACAGAGGGCAGAGGACGTAGGGAATGTTACTGGCCACTTCTCTTTTCCACTGTGGACCCAAGTCATCTCATTATAGACAAAAATTCCAGTCACACAGAGATAAGCTCCTTTTACTCAACAGTACAAATTAAATATGCAATATTTAATTGTGTTGCATGATTCATTGAAATTGTAAAGGTGCTCCACATTAATATCCTCAACTATTTATATGCATAACACGTTTGTGTACATCATTGTTTTCTTAGGTAATAAACTCAACAAAACTTGTAACCATCTTTTTTTTTTTTTTGGTAACTAGACATTTAGTGCTTTTTGATGTCATCATAGTTATATGTGAAAGAAAAGTTAGAAGCCTCATCTCTACCAACACCAGACAGATACTTGAGATGAATAAAAGAAAATAGGCTTGAGGCCTGGATACTCAGGAGAGCATCAGGTGCTCTCTGTGAAACACCTGAGAGACAGGTTGCTAATCACGGCTTGTTGACAGCTGAGCACATGCCCAGTCTTTCCTCCTTTTCTGTTTAAATGTGTATTGAGGAGGCTCCTTGGGCACATATGTCAAGGTGAAAGACCCTCTTAACAGTGCAAAGGATACTATGCAAGCTTGGGGGATAGGTGTCTTTGAACTGAAAACACATTCTTGATTTGGTCTATTGTACTAAATCTTGTCTGGAAGTGTCATTTTTATATCGCCCTTTCTTGTTCTTTTCATGGATTTTCACATTTCAGTACATTTTAAATCTCTGCCATTGAGGTGTGATCCCACATTCCTTTTTTTGTATGGGGTTAGGGGGTAAGTAGGAGCCTGAATCCTGGCCCTGCTGCTATGAACTTTGTGACAAATTAAGTTTTTCAACTTGCTGAGCGTAGGTATCCTAATCTTTAAGATAGTTCTGGGGAACTATCTTATTTCATTATAAATGAAATGCCATATTAAAAACCCCTACTTAAAAAAATTTTTTTTAATGTTAATTTTTATTTTTGAGAGAGAGAGAGACAGAACATGAGCGGGGGGGAAGGGCAGAGAGAGAGGGAGACACAGAATCTGAAGTAGGCTCAAGGCTCTGAGCTGTCAGCACAGGCTCCCCAAACCCCCTACTTTTTAAATACCGTATTTTAAAAGTACCATATTGACTGTACTTGAAAACTGTTAATTTCCTTATTGGCCCCTTCAGGCCTATTGAGATGTCTACATTTCCCAACTTCTACCTTTTCTGTCAATCACAGGTAAAGGTCACTTTTTTTTCCCCCCTGACTCCAGAAGTGCCATGAGAATCAAATGAAGAATGTATGAGGAAATCATTATTTTTGTCAGTACTTAAATTTCTTCAGAATATAAAGTACAACCTTCTTATTTGCTTAGCTTTGACTTGATTCTAAGCGTCTTTATATCTTAAGCTTTATCATTCTCAAGATATTGACCCATAGTCCAATGTCTTAAATAGTTAACACTTTCCAATGTCTTTTGACTTGTCTTTCCAGGTTATAAAACATGGAGGCTGGCTCAGTGGTTCGAGCCATCTTTGACTTTTGCCCTAGTGTATCAGAAGAACTACCACTCTTTGTAGGAGATATTATTGAGGTGTTGGCAGTGGTGGATGAATTTTGGCTTCTAGGAAAGAAAGAAGATGTTACAGGTAAGAGGCTTATAATTCCTCAGGTACAAAATAGACCACAGGCCCTCCAATCTTTCCATATTAAAAAATAAAGGTTAAATGGGAAGCCCAAGTCAATAAACTACAGAATCCTTTTGTCTTTTTCCTGTGGTTTTTACCAGTGGGGAGAGAATGTTTGTTATCAATCCATCTATCCTTATTGGTTCCTTCCAAAGGCTGAGATGGTTCGATACCAGCTGCCCCAGGCCAATTTTCTGTTCACATCTTTACCTGTCCTTCCCAGGTCTTTGTCCTTTGTGCTCAGTGCCATTGTTTACCTTCTGAAAATATGTGTTATTTCTTTATTCAGAAACCTGTTGTTTGACATTATTTTTCACTACCAGTCTTTACCTGTGATTTGTGGAACGTAAGTCCCTCTCCACCATATTTTCTCTACCTGTCTTCCTCAAATGTTTTCTACCCTTTCTTTCACTCTGTTTTTCAAGGGATCATGATGCGTCCTGTTCACTCCTTCTTAGATCCATGGTTGGCCCAAATTTATTAAAGCTACCCCTGCCCTGGGTGCAGCTACCTTCCACTTCTTATACACCTGATTTCCTTTCTTCCAGTCTTTCAAATATATGTTAGCACCAGTTTCTTTCATTAATTAGCCTAGGGAAGGGTGAAGGTTTTTACCCCACACTATGCACCTGTGTTAAATCCGGTCCTTAACTGACATAGATTTATGTAATTCTGGGCTGCAGCTTGTTATACAGACTCTGTTAACACTTAACCCACATTTGGGAGATAATAGATTATTTCGCAATAGAAATGATAGCTCAGCTAAGACAAAAATGATGAGTAAGAGTTAGCAACACAAAGAGGATAGACAGAGAGAATTGCTTATCCAGAGGCCCTTGAATGACAAAGAACATGGAGGGTCCGAGAAAAGTTCAGCCTGGCATGAGGTCTGAAAGGTTGAGGAAGGGAGAAGGTGCTGGGGAGAGGAGCTGGGGAGGGAGCAGGAGCTAGATCGTGGAGGACAGCGTATGCTGTGGTATGGAGTTATGGAATGGGATACAATACAGGTGCTTTAAGCACTGTCAGATTTGTATTTTAGAAAGCTCAGTGCTACAGATTGAGAAATGATAGGGAAGGGCAAAACCAAGGGCAGGGAGGCAGCCTGGGAGGTTGTTGCAGTGACCCAGGTGAGACATGCTGCTGACCTGGACCGAGGTGATGGGTCTGGAGATAAGTGGATGGATACAAGAGATATTTGGAAGGTGGAATCCATTAAACTTTCTGATGCTTTCCAACTGACAGGCCCTGTCTGTCTACTACCACCTATTAAAACGCTACCCATCTTCAGACTTAAATGCAGTCTTTTTCATAAAATTTTTTGTGTTCTTCCTGAACCATTTTCTACCTTCTCTAATGTCCATAGCAATCTGTGCATTTTTCTTGTGTCACTAGATTTCAGAGTGATTGTTTATGTCTGAATTCGATTTTAAGATCTTTGAGAGCAAGACCGTCTTACTCATTTTTCCCCTCTGTAGTGTGTCTTGTCTAGAGTAGCACCCAGTTAATGCTTATTGGATTGAATTGCATTTTTTCTGCTCTGCATGAATGAAATTTTGTGTGCTGTACTTTTTCTATAGTAGATTTTCCAATTATGAGTACTCACTTTCCAATTTAGTGTCTATAAATGGGCTCAGAAACAAAGTTATTATGTCCTGGTACACAGAAAATGAAATTTCAGTATTAGAAACGTTTGCTTTTACTTTCAGGACAGTTCCCCAGCAGTTTTGTGGAAATCGTGACCATCCCCAGTCTAAAAGAAGGAGAGAGGCTGTTTGTCTGTATCTGTGAATTTACATCCCAAGAATTAAACAGTCTTCCCCTCCACCGAGGTAAGTTGACCATTCAGGAGTAGACTGTTTACAATAAGTTGAATGGAGCTGGCCCATTTTGACAACTAGATTTTTTTTTTGAATTTTTAAAAGTGGCTAACCTCTGGAGAGTGTTTAGTAATAGCAAGATCGTGCTGACAATAATAATGCCTTATATTTGCATAGCATTTTATAATTTCCATAGTATTTGCTCACAAATACATTCTCATCTGATCCTCACCACAGACCTGGTAGCAAAGTGGATATTATTAACTGCATTTAATAAATAATGAAAATGAGATTCAAAGGATGTTACCTGCAGATGAAAACTTTTGGCCTCAGAAGGTCAAGTCATGTCACCTGATTGTAAGTCCAGCATTCTCTTTCCATTGCCCCATATTGTAGCCACACTTCAGACTACATTAATCTTTTTTTCCCTTAAAAACTAATATGGCTTTCCCAGCAACATTACTATTTATTACTATATAATAATCAAGCAGGAATTGTGGTATAGAGATTAAGAGACAGATGTCAAATAGCCCCATTTTGACTCCCTATCGATAGGTAATATTACATTAAAGTTATCATCAGAACCAGTTTAAAAGGAAGTGATTTAAGGGGTGCCTGGTGACTCGGTTAAGTGTCCGACTTTGGCACAGGTCATGATCTCACGGTTCATGAGTTTGAGTCCTACACTGGACTCTGCTGTCTGCGTGGAGCCCGTTTGGGATCCTCTGTCCCCCTCTCTCTCTGCCTCTCCCCTGCTTATGCTCTCTCTCTCTCTCTCAAAAATAAGTAAACATTAAAAAAAAGGAAGTGATTTAAAATGAATAGTTGTAGCCATGTCTCAGTGACATTCCAAGTATTTCTCACTTACTCTGATAGACGTATGAACTTCTCTAAAGATGGACCATAAACCGTTTCACCAAGGATACTTGATTAAGTCCACACATTTCTGCATGAGCACAGAAACCAGTAGTGTTCCACAAACTGATGTTTATGATGAATGCAATTTTTGTGATGACAAAGGAGGAGCCAGCAAAATGGTAGAATTTATTGGGCATGTTCTTAATATTGTTACTTGTTCTTTTGAGTATGGCCCTGAAGGACTAGGCTTAATTTCTTAAACCATGTGCACATCTGAGAGAGAGAGCTCGCAGAGGTGGGGAAAGAGAGAAACCTAGCAAACTTCCCTAACCCTTAGGCAGTGAGAAGGAATATTGAATTTAGATCTTAATCCTCAAAATCTGTTTTGAGAGTTTCTTACACTTTGCATTGACCCTCTACCTCTGTTCTGAACACTTCTTTGTTAATCAGTGTTGGAAAGGGAGAGAGAAATAGATCAAGATGTTATAGCAGGAAACTTTTATCTGTCTCCACTCACAGCCCTTCCACTGCGGGGAGAGGGGGGGTCTGTAGTCCACATCGGACCAGAGGGAGTGGAGAAAAGGCCAGAGCACAGTAGCTTCCATTAGAGCTGAGCAGAAGATATGGGCGGCATGGATTTGTCCTTTCCTATACCTAAAGCAAATAAATAGTGGGTATAAGAATATACTCTGTGGGAATATGCAGTATGTCTACAACATTTGGGGAATTGGAAGATGTATCTTCTGGAATTAGCTTTTTTGCTTTATATCTTGTGTAGTCAGGTCTTAGATACTAAAAAGAGAGATTTTCTGCTGAATGCCTTCCCTGGAAAGACTGGTATCATGGGTTCTGAACTTGCTTTGAAGTTAAAATCTGCCTCAGGAATCCCAGGGCCACAAAATAGATTCTTAGGAAGACCCTAGCATGGATCTTTCAGCCAGGAGCCTCCTGGACCAAGACTGACTCAAGCTCAGGCTGGGTCTTAGAACCTGTAGATGTTATCTTGATTAGTTTTTAAGCAAAGGAAGAGGATGCAGCAGGGGCAATACGCAGGAAGAGACTAGAAAGAGATATGCTTACTGTCAGTGTTTTTATCTGTTCTCTTCTCTGATGCTCTCCTTCCAGTGAGTGCACTGACTATTCAGCTCTGTTTCCTTCTATGCTTTTCATGTCTCTTTTAGCTCTGTGTCTTCTGATTTGAACACATAAGCCTTTGAGAATGGGAGAGTTAGATAGATGCACCTCTGCAATTTGAATTTTTCTGGGAAGTTTAGCAGGAGACACAGAAATGATTTTAATTTCTCTTGTTTTCTATGCACGACAGTACACATTAACAGATAATAATTTTACTTGTGGGAAACAAAACCAGTAAAAAAAAGAAAGTATTTTTTATGCCACCTATAGTTTATAAAACTTGAGTCTAGGCTTCCTGATTTTCAAGTCTAGTGCTTGGAATGTCCCTTCTACTTCTTAGGTTGAAAATTGTTTTTTTCCATTAGATCAGTGTCTCAGCTCACGAGTGGTATACATTCCTCTAGCCCTGCCTTCTAGTACTATTAGTCCTATTCCCTGTTGTTTCTTTCTCTCTCCTCAGTACCTTCCGTGTAGCAGTGAAGCTTCCTCTGTGCTGTGTAAATAAAACTTTTGGTGATTGAATATATGTCAGGAGGGGATTTGGAAACCTTAAGAGCATATGGGATAATGTTTGAGACCGGTTTCGTTTTACCATGCTGCCTTCAGTTAATTGTTACCTACTTACTGTTCAGAAGTATCATTGGGATTAATAAGAGAAAAAATTATATATTTTAATTGTAAAATTATGTTATTAAAGATACATATGTATTTGGAGCTCAGGAGATAAGAATTCTGATGGCCGTAGATTTAAATCCATCTCTACAACTTAGTAGCTGTGACTTTAGGCTAGTTACTTACGTTATCTCAGCCTCAGTAGGATAATAATACCTACCCCAGGTAGCTGTGAGGGTTGAGTGAGGTTATGCCCATAAAGCATCTGGAACAAGGTAAGCATGCAGTAAAGATTAACTGTCCCTCTTATTCTTAACCTGGGATTCCTGGACTTTGTGGATGTGCTTTGGGGGGACGTTGTGTCCTAATAATGACATGAAGTTTATGTGTCTGTACATTTTTCCAGGGAGATTCTATCTGGAATTGGAATCACCAGTAGTTCTTCCAGCAGGTGTCACCCTTTCTCCTTTCCACAAAGCCATCCAGTTGTTTTGGACTATTCGCTGTATTCTGAGTTATATTTAAACTCCGAAAACAAGGCTGTCTCTGTATGTCTTCTTTGGAAAAATGTCTATTCAAACCCTCTGCCTATTTTTTAATCAGGTTGTTTGGGTTTTTTTGGTGTTGTGTTGTATAAGTTTTTTATATATTTTGGATATTAACCTCTTATCAAATAAGTCATTTGCAAATATCTTCTCCCATTCAGTAGGTTGCTTTCTTTATTTTGTTGGTGGTTTCCTTCACTGTGAAAAAGCTCTTTATTTTGATATAGTCCCAAAAGACACATGAAAAGATGTTCAGCATTACTAATCATCAGGGAAATGCAAATCAAAAACCGCGATGAGATTATCACCTTATACCTGTCAGAATGGCTAAAATCAAAAAGACAAGAGATAACAGGTGTTGGTGAGGATGTGGAAAAAAGGAACCCTTGTACACTGTTGGTGGGGATATAAATTGGTACAGTCCTGGTGGAAAACATGGAGGTTCCCCAAAAAATTAAAAATAGAAATACCATATGATCTAATAATTCTAATAATTCACCCAAAGAAAACAAAAACACTAATTCAAAAAGATATGTGTGTGCCTGTATGTTTATTGCAGCATTATTCACAATAGCCAAGATGTGGAAACAACCTAAGTGTCCACTGATAGATGATAAGGAACATGGTGTGTGTGTGTGTGTGTGTGTGTGTGTGTGTGTGTGTGTGTGTATACACATATACATATATATATATACATACTTATATATATATATATATATATGTATGTATGTATGTATGTATATATATATGTAATGGAAAATTATGCAGCCATAAGAAAGAATGAGATCATGCCATTTGTGACGACATGGATGGACCTAAAAAGTATTATGCTAAGTAAAATAAGTCAGACTGAGAAAGACAAATACCAAGTGAATTCACTCATATGTGGAATCTAAAAAAAACAAATGAATAAACAAAAAAGCAAATCAGGGGGCCTATAAATACAGAGAACAAACTGGTGGTTGCCAGAGGGGAGAGGTAGTGGAGGGATGGGCAAGCGAGAGATATAGACTTCCAGCTATGGAATTAAGAAGTCACAGGGAGGGGCGCCTGGGTGGCTCAGTTGGTTAAACGGCCGACTTCGGCTCAGGTCACGATCTCGTGGTATGTGGGTTCGAGCCCCGCGTCGGGCTCTGTGCTGACTGCTCAGAGCCTGGAGCCTGTTTCAGATTCTGTGTCTCCCTCTCTCTCTGACCCTCCCCCGTTCATGCTCTGTCTCTCTCTGTCTCAAAAATAAATAAATGTTAAAAAAAAAAATTAAAAAAAAAAAGGAGTCACAGGGATAAAAGGCACAGCATGAGGAATACAGTCAATGGTATTGTAATAACCATGTATGGTGACAAATGGTAGCTATGCTTGTGGTGAGCATGGCATAACATATAAAGCTGTTGAATTACGGTGTTGTACATCTGAAATAATGTAACATTTTTTGTCTACTCAAATAGAAAAATTATTTTTATTTTTATATTTTAGAGAGCGAGAGTAAGGAGGGGAGAAGGACAGAAAGGGAGGGAGGGAGGG